CTGGCCGGGTCTGTTTCTCCCCCAATGATGGCGGGAGCTCTGTGCCCTCGCGCGCACAGCCGGGGGGGAGGATGGTGGAAGCGACAACCTCCTCGTTGGACCGGCCAACAAGCGACGCCACCCCAGATGGGCCGCAGCGCAGCATGGAGGGCCGTGGGTGGGGTGGCGTCGTCTGCTCGTTGGTCGACTCAGCTTCCTCCTCGCGGCGATGGCCCAGTGGCTCGGCCCGTCGGTCCACCGGGGCAGGCAACAGGAGCCCAGGGCAAGCAAGCACAGCGTGACGATGCAGGGCGCATGTAGCCCGCGACCCACGGCTCGAGGCCGCGGTCGACGGGCACGGCTGAAGGCGCGGGGCCGCAGGGGTGCACGAAGGCGGCCAGATCTCGGCGCCCGCCCCCGCGAGGGCCGCCTCGCCCTCCTCGCCACGGGCATCCATCTCCGGCGCGGGTGGAAAGGGAATCGGCGGGGGTCGGTGCTGGGGCAGCTGCGCGTCGGCTGCCGTGGGGGGGGGGGCCGCGGTGCGGGAAGCGACGGGGACGACGCCGAGGGCTTGCGAATCCGAGCTCGCGGATGCGCACGCGGAGGGCTGGAAGGTCAGCCCGAAGCTCGCGCAGCAGAGCGCCCGGCGGACGTTTCCTGTGATCCCTCTGGGCGCGGGGGCGCCAAAGCTTGACCCAGACGCACGTCTCCGCGGACGCTGCGTAGGACTCCGCGGGCTGCGTGTGCCGCCCCGGCCACCGCGGCAGGCAGTGCGGATCCGCACGACGATCGTGGCGCAGAGCGGCAGGAAAGCAGAACGGCGGCAGGCCCTCGAGGTGAGGCCTGCGCCGACGAGTAGGAGAAGGCAATCCCTGATGCACGCGGTGGCGGGCGGCACGTGACGCTGCATGGCGCGCGGGCCCCGCAGCGGCGGAGCAAGAGGTGAAGCGGCCGGGCGGCGCGGGCCGATGCCCGTGGCGGCGCGCGGCGCGTGGCGAAGCGAGGAGAGGCGCGGGCGTCGCTCCTGCCCTGTGCGGCAGGGAGAGCTGGCCTCACCCAGGAGGGAAAAATCGCGGGGCCTCGGGGGGTGGGCACCGCGGCTCGCGGGGGCACGCAGGCCCCCGGAGCCGAGGCCGAGAGCGAGAGACAGAGGCAGCCACAGAGGCAGCGACACAGACAGACGGACGGACGGACGGACGGACGGACGGACGGACGGACGGACGGACGGACGGACGGACGGACGGACGGACAGACAGACAGACAGACAGACAGACACACACACACACACACAGCGAGAGAGAGCGAGAGAGAGAGAGAGAGAAAACAAAAAAGGGGAGGAAGAGGGATGGATAGAAAGAGAGAGAGAGAGAGAGAAACAAAAAAAAAAAAATGTGGAGAGAGGGACAAGCAGAAGAAAGGGCTGGAAGCTGGAGGAAGTGGGAGCATCTCGTCCTCCTCACCCTTCTCTCCCTCCTCTTCATCAACCTCCTCCTATTCCTCCTCCTCCTCCTCCTCCTGCTGTTGCTCCTCCTCCCCCTCCTCCTCCGAAACCTCATCATCCTCTGGCTGGTATCCTTCCCCTGTTCGTATTCCCCCCGTCCTCTTTCCCTGAGTGAGAAGGACAAGGGGGAAGAGGATGGGCCGCTGTCGCCACAAACGCACCACCAGGGACACTAGCTCCAAGATCAATGAAAGCCTCCTGCGCTCGTATCGTGCAATCCCGTGAGGACCACCAGCCCGCCCCTGACACGCAACCATTTGCACTCGTGCTGGAATCAGCCGCCGTAAGCGCGTTCGACTAAAACCAAGTCATGTGTGGCACTCCAACATTGTATAACTCTCGGTCGCCCAACTCTCGGTCGCCCTCATCCCGGCAATGTCGTCAAGCCGCGCCCCCCATCGAAAGGGACAAGCTCCAGACTAGTATGCCGCCGTCTTTAAAAGGCGTTTCGCCAACGACTCCGCCCAGGTCGCCCCAGCGCCACCGATGTCAGTCTGGACAACCTAGCCTTGCCGACCCAAGATGTTACTGAAGGGCGGGCCAGGAGTTGAGGGGGAGGCTAAGTCAAGGAAGAAAACGAGGATAACGGTGATGGCGACGATGAAGAGATGGAGGTAACGACGACAACGACGACGACGACGACGAGGCTATGAAAAAAAACAACAACTGTGTGGACGGCGACGACAACGACGACGTGGAGAGGGGAGGGTATGGCACAACATGGAGAACAATGGCGACGAGGAATGGATGAAACCTTCCACGACGGCTTTGGGCGCGGAGCGCGTCCTTGGCCACTGGGCGTCCCGTGGCCTCGAAAAGCAGCTTGTCGTTCAGCCCGAGTTTCAGCTCGGGCATGCCTGGGGTGCCGCCCAGAGGAAGCAGGGCGAGGAGTGATCGGCATATGGGGCGAAGGGACAGAGGAGGAGAAGCAGGAGGAAGAAAGTGGCGAGGAGAAGAGGGAAGAGGCTGTAAGGAAGAGGCAATAGCACGGAGGGAACTATGAGAAGGAGAGTGGGCGGGTCATGTCACACCCGACCACCAGGAGCTCTTACACACGAGCAGACAGGCACGATATCATCCCACAATAAAGGCTTGACGACTGGGAGTCTACTCCTCCTCCTCCTCCCCCTTCTCCTCGTCCACCTCCTCCTCCTCCTACTCCTCCTCCTCCTCCTCCTCCTCCTCCTCCTCCTCCTCCTGCTCCTGCTCCTCCTCCTCCTCCTGCGGCCTGCAGCGACCTGCTGGTCCACTGATGGCAGCTGCACGCCCCCAGCTGTGGCTCCCTGGTGGAGCCCTTTCGCGGACCTCCGATCGTCCTCTGCCTCCCTCCGCTTCTTTAGGAGGCAGCTTCCTGGGAGGTCTCCGTCAGACCGATTAAGGGCTATTAAGCCCGATTATCAAGACACTGAGCAGGATTAGGCTGGATCAGACCAAGGATTGAGCTGGATAAAGCGGGATCAAGTCGGATTAAGCGGGACTTAGCCGGATTAACCGGGATAAAACCACATTAGGTCAGTTTTTGACAAGGGAGATACCAGCGCCGATTCAGAATTAAACCTCCCAGGAGTGGCATCCTAGACTTTTCTGCTCCTTCGTCTGGTCTCGCCCGCAGCATCCAACAAATTCGTCGACACAACTTGCTGCTACATATCCAGATCCGCTGGCCCCCCTTACTTTGGCCATCTGGCTGCGGGACACAGGCTTCAGCAACTCAGGAATGCAGCTCTCATCAGCACGATGGGGACATTCGCAACAAGATGAGCAACTTGGCAATCGAGATCATCTTGCCATCAGTTCTGTGGACACGGAGATGCTCGGCTTCTCGGAACCTGAGACTTTGCGCTCCTGAAGGCGCGCAGCCCCCCTCGGCCCTCCTCCTCCTCCTCCTCCTCCTCCTCCTCCTCCTCCTCCTCCTCCTCCTCGCGTGTCGCTCTCCCGATTTTGTCTGGCCCACCACGATTCGGCGCGACACGCTACCCCTCCTCCCCCACCCCACAACCAGATTTCCCCCGCTCACGGACACCTTAGAGACTTTTTCTCTATTCGCGATGACGCCCGCGACCGGCCCCTCCCGCCCCCTCCCCCCAATCCCCGCCTGGGCACGTCACGATTCGCACCGGCGTCGTCTTGCAATTAGCCATCCATGAGCATTTCTGGATGGCGCCGGCGCGACTCGTGACGTGGCTGACCCCTTTCCCCCTCCCCTCCCCCCCCAGTCGCGCCCGCTATCGCTAGGGGATGAAAGAACTGTCTCTTGGGTCACGTAGCTGCACGATGCGAGCGCACTCCCAGAGCCACGCTCCTTCGTAGACGCCAGGAGTCCCGATCCTTCGAGGCCACGGCCTCGTAACACAACAATTCTGGCGGCTGGGGGTCTTCGACCCGACTGTCCCACTCCATGATGAGCATGCACACGATCTTTCCATATATATATATATATATATATATATATATATATATCACACCAGCCCTCTGGGCGTCGGTGGTTTAGAGCGTTTCCTCTTCCACCCCTCCTTCTTCCCCTTCGGGGAGGGGTTTACCCCTCCCCCTACCCCCTCCCCACTGACCTGGACAGGGGGTTCCGCGGCGCGCTGGAGCGCCCAAGATCGACCCCTGGGAAGGCTAACATTCGACATCCCTCACGAGGATCGTGGCTCCTGGGGGGGGGGCTCTAATTAAGGAACCCCTCTTCTTTGATCGATTCCCTCCACTATGGCCGCAAGAGGCCCCCAGGATGCCCCAAGAGGCCACAGGATGGCCCCAAGATGACCCCAAGAGGCCCCCCAAGAGGCCCCCAGGAGGCCCCCAAGAGACCCCCAAGAGGCCCCAAGAGACCCCCCAGAGGCACCCAAGGTGCTCCCAGAGGCCCCAAGATGACCCCAAGAGGCCCCAAGAGGCCCCCAGGAGGCCCCAAAGCGGATCCCGAACGGCCCACAGAGGCCCCCCCGAGGCACCCAAGACGCCGAAAAGCCCCTCAGGACGACCCTTTACTCGCCTGGGCGTCGTTTCTGGGCGGGCTGGTGGGGATACGCGAAGCGTCTAGAATATATACACACGATACACGGATACCCACAAGTATGTCTATATGTATATTCATAAAGACACACATATATATATACGACCGGCCCACTTACCTATCGACCGACCTACCTACAGGCATACATACATACAGACATACATGCATACATACATACATGCCTGTTTGTCTGCCTACTACCTACCCCCATGCATGCATGTATACATACATGCACGCATACATACACCCATACATACATACATACAGACCGACAGGCAGGCAGGCAGGCAGACAGACAGACAAAGAGACAGGCATGTATACATATATATATATATATATATATACACACATCCGCCGGCCCCCTTGTGGGGCCACCAAGCTGTAGGCCGAAGCTTCGCAGTTTCCTGTACCCGTTGCAGTTTCCTGTCTCCACTGTTACAGTTCTGCTTCTTGCTGCTTACTGCTCCTTGTTGATGGACCGCGCAAGGGGGGGAGGCCCAAAAC